CGCCCCGCCCCCTGCCACCGCTCCGGCGGCGCGCGGAGGTAGAGGTCGCCGGTGTACACCACGGCGAATGGGGATCCCCGTTCGCGCCTGGACAGGTGCCACCTGCAACAGCACGGCGCGGAGTGGAAGCCTTCCTCAGCACTCGTGAGTTAAAGCGTGGACTTGAGATATTTATTTACATTCTCAAGAGATACGTGTCTTTCAGTGACAAAACACACAGCTTTATGAATTAGAAATAATATATCCTCCAGTGCAATCATTCCTTCAATACAAAAATATTTTGTGACACAGTTTGAAGGAATTTTTATAGTAAGCTATTTTTCTCTTGGGTAAGACAACGAGAAATCAGATTGGGTAAGAAACGAGATTTTAATTCAAAGTGATGGTTACATTTTTACACATACAGTATGCATACATAAAGTCGTTTCCGTACAAAGATCTCGTGCTGGAAGATGTGGCACCAACTGGTGTCACTTTTCTGGACGTCTGATCGAGAAGTCATACTGTGGAGAGTATTTTGCAAGGCCAAACATCATACAAGTATACCACATCGAAAATGTTTTAATTTGCATGATGGACGATGTTACTAATGGGAATAAACCGGTAATTTTTTTGCCACTTTGATTGATTTTTTGGAAGAAATGTGAACTTAGTACTTTGAATGATTCGCCAGGACGTTTGTTGAAAGTGAAATTCAACCGATGTGGACGCCAAGATGGCTGAAGGGGTCTTCCACTTTGCGACTTCGAGTCAGCTGAGCTACTTTGTTCGGCGCAACGGACGTCCGTTTACCTGGTTTTCAAATGATTTCGACTGAATTTATACTCTGTTGTGATGTTAATTATTAATCACATACCAATCTATATGATATTCACGAACGTTTCTTTCCAGAATTTATTTAATCGAGTAAAAAAGTAGTGTTTTATTAAAATAACGACGTTAGGCCAGTATCTTTAAAATAAAAACGCTACCAAAAATCAAATAACTACAACTGCTGAACCTTTATGACCGGAATTGTTTCATAAAACTTTCATCCCAATAACTTGAACAGTTTAGAAAATATTAGAGGTGTCGTTTTTCACTAACCCTGTGTATTCATCTGCATTTTGATAGAATACATTTAATACATAATATATTCTTGACTCTAGTATAAAGTTTCATTGTATGCTTTCATTACATAAACGAATTGTTATTCTACGAAATGTTGTATTAATTATTCAGTCGCTTATTCTTCCGAAACCACAGTTACAATTAACCATTGTTACAAGTGTACATTCAGATTATCACCACTATTCAAAACTGAACCACAAGTGTAGCTGCAATTTCTTAAGGATATTGGAACATTTAATGCTTGTGTACATGCAAATCACTATATCACACAAAAGAGTTACCCATCTACATTTCTTTTCTTTGGTCAATTTTCAATGCTATTATTGAGTCCAATTTCATCTTAATATGTGACAATAATTTGATTACTACGACCCTATTCTGCTAAACCATTAAAACCCGTTCGTTTAATTTTTACGAACTTTCCATTAACTCCCTTTAGAAAATAGGGGTAATATAAATGATGAGTATGAAGCACGTAGTTTAACCGCGAACCAATACTCACCGTACACCCAGTTAATGGGGCCATCCAGCCTGAAATTGGCTCTCAATTATGAATTTTATTGGAGCGTTTAAAATAATTACCTCATTACCGTTTTAACTGAAATGTATATTTTCCCATTTGAAAGGCGTTCAGTTCTATTCGTTACGGTGGATTGCAGTTAATCTTTTAATCCTTTTATACGGATTCCCTTTGAAAATTAATTTCCGACTTTGCGGATGGAAGGTCGTGTCTTGATGTTGGAATAACATGGGCAGCCCTCTCGAGCACTCACCGTATCATCATCTGGTGGACCCTCGGGTACTGCCCTTTCCCCCGCAGCACTTTGAGGGCGCCGAGGAAGGACTGCTGGTGGGCGGGCGCCAGCAGCAGCGACTGGCGGTACTGGTGAAGGGCCTCCCACGACCGCCCTAAACACACACACGTTTTGAATCGCTTGGTGCAGAAAGCCCTCGTGTAAATCTTTTACAGAATTTGAGACCCGTTGATCATACGATATACAGGATGAGTCATGCAACTTTAGAACCTTCTGTAATTTTTGAAAGGTTGGAGTAATTGCAATGCAGTTTTCATATCAGGTCTTGTATTTTACGAGATACTAAGGTAACATTTTTAAAAGTGTAACTATACACATTTTGTAGTCTATCATGACGAGCGTTAAAAGATAAATCCAATGATTTTCATCTTGTCATATGTCTGTTAAACATTTTTAAGTACTTTTTATTTTCTTGCGACTCGTGTTTAACCGGTATTTTCAATGTAACAGTTCACTACTCAAGATCATGCAGTCATCCACTTGCTACCGCGCTCAAGCAGTAAAACACGCGTCGCAAAAAAATTAAAATTTCACAAACAACGCCACTCTAACATATGACAATATGTATATCAATAGATTCGTCATTTTACGCTCGTCATGATAAACTAAACAGTATGGATATCTACATTTGAAAAGCAAAGTTTCCTCAGTATCTTGTAAAATACAAGTAATAAAATGGAAATGAATACATGTATAAATTAGCCCAATTCCCTCATGTGCTTCTGTGAAAACTGCATTTCAATAACTGCAACCGTTAAAATATTACAGGAGATGTCACAGTTACGTGACTCATCGGGTGTGGGTGGACGCATCGACGGGTATAAAAGTCCCTCAAGAACGCCGCGAACTGTGGGTGTAACATCTGTTTGAAGTTTTCGTTTGGTGCAGAACCGAGTGTAAAGTGATTCAGTTATTTTCTTCTCCTGAAACAGCGCGGAGATCGCAACTTGAGGGGTTTCTCTTCCAAGTGATTCATTTGGTAGATACAAAACAATGGGCATTGGCTAAACAGCATCACACTTAATCTTTAAGGGATGAAGTAACGAGTTCTAGGAGTGCGTTACACATTTTTCCTATGAGAAGTGTAATAATGAATACATATGTGAATATATTTTAATACCAAAAACTGAAAGTTATACATTTTTTAACTGTCGAAAAAGATGACATACAATTCGTGATTATGAACAAGTGTCCGTGTACTCAAAAATGAGACACCTCTTCATTTTTATCAACATCTGAGTCAGTTAATTTTCAAAAATTCTCTTAAAGCAGTGAGTAATTTGGCAAATAGCAAACTCGTTGTGCGAATAAGCAAATTATAACATAGTTTTATTACAACCTCTGCTATCGATTCCAAAAAGCAATTGCATTTATCAAAGAGATTTCGTTGCACACATCATTATATACTATGTTACATCTATAACGTTCTATCGAGATATCCATTTTGCGGATGAACTATTCAGTCAATCATTAAAAATAAGGTGTTGTTTGAAAGCTGAAAGTCCCAGACATCTGCACGTGTAGTTCCCAATTTTTGCCTATTTTTTTACGAACATAATTAATTTTTGTAATTGTTGGAAATGACGATATCACGTACAACTTGGTGGTAAAGCGGGAAGTATCGAGGTCAAAAGGGCAGCACATGGCGAGACGGTGGTAAAGAACAGAGTGGATTCAGTGCAAGGTAGGCACGCAAGGGCAGAGCAGGCTACGCAAAGGCACATTTGGGTGAGGATACGTTAGAGACAAAATTAATTCCTTTTCCGGTCATGATGAATAGACGAATAAGATAAAGTCCAGCATCTGCCTTAGTCACAAAGTTTCAGTAAAAAGGCGGTCTTCAGGGACTCACTTTAATATTCACCACAAATGAAACAAACATGGTTCCGTTAATTAACAGTCTCTAGTAGCCATTTTTCAAGACGCAAAAGAGCTATGTGCCTAAAGTGAATGCAACTGAAAGAAAGATTGTATGAGATGGAGAAAATCTGAAGTCATTTTCGATATCAGAAAATGAAAGATATTACAGTTAGCCAGTAAATATTATGCAGATTCCAGATCACAGAAAAGCAATATTTAGTACAACCAAAAATGATATTTAAAATCTTTTCTGGGTTACATTTTTTTATATTAGCTGCCATACCATGTTACCCTACATTCCATGACAAAAATATTATTAAAATTTCAATGCGCTATAATACATTCAATACCATTGAAAACTTTAAAAGAGTGAATTATAACAAGCCAAAACTGTATTTTACTTTCCAATCTCTTACTGCTATAAATAATTGGAAAATGTTC